TTGGCTTCAGCTGTAGCTGACTCAATCTGAATAGCAATGGTTATTGCTTTTTCTAGTGTAAGTTGTGGTTCTAGAAGTAAGCGTTCTCTGACACGAAGCATGGTTGTTTTCTCAATGAGCTGGTCTCTAATCATCTCATCTGCCATATTCCCAAAGTCACAAGTTACAATCAGACTCCTCAGGGAAGCGGTATACTGCATTATTGTCTCCCCTGTTTTCTGCTCACACTGGTGAAATCTGTAGCGATTAGCTACTACATTCATTTTTGGCACAAAAATGTTCTTTAACGCAGTGAGTGCAGTCTCATATTTATCATCTGCAAGGGGAAAAGTGTAAAATATACGCTGCCCTTCTGCTCCAAACAGTGGATTAGCAGAGCATGCTTTCTTACTTCAGAAATCTCTGTAGCAGTGATTGCAAGCAGATAAGTCTCAGACATATGGATCCAGGCAGTAAAAACAATTGGAGGCTCACCTGGGCTTTGCAGAAAGGGTACAGGTGGATTCAGAGGCAGAAGATCCACCCTCATCACCAAAATGTTGTAGCAACCAGGCAAGGTACTAACAAACTTCAACAGGACTTTATTTTTAAAGTGGTAACCTCTTTACCAAGCTGCTGCTGGACCCTTGGTAGCTCTCACTCGGCCTCCTCAACTCCTCCCCCCTCCTTCCTGTTTCCTGTCCTTTCAGACTCCTTACAGCCAGTGCTCCCAGTTCTAATAATTACAAGCAGCATCTAAACACTACACCTGTCAAGCAGGGAATGATATTTCTTACTACCATTAGGTAGGGCCTGATTCTCCTTTCACACTGATGTAAGTCAGGAGCTATTCCCCTAAAGACAATGGGGCTACACCAGTGTATATCCATTATAAGTGAGATAAGAATTGGAGCCCTGGTCAGGGATGTCCTTTATAAGTTTCATAAAAGACAGCAAATGGCTTCACTTATACTTAAAGTATTGAACTTTTATGGAGGCAACTGTATTTACCTTATATTTTAAAGAAAATGTTAGCTTAAAACTGAATCAGTAGTACAAGAGAAGGAAGTATGTAGCTTGCAGTTATAAAAAAACAGAGTTGAAGCCCTTCATAAGGGATTTATCTCCGGTCTGACAGAGTCCTTCAATGACATAAGCACCTTTGTTACACCAAACAGAATTCCCCATATTGAATAAAAAGAGACTCTGTCTGTGTAGATGATTTTGGCTTCCAGAGTGAAGAGGATAGATAGGAAGCTCTAAGACAGACATTTGAATTCCATTTGTAGAAGGCCCCTAGAGATCTCAGATCTTAAAGGGTTCTACTTTTATTACAATCATTAGGACTTCAGAGTTAAGTATTGTCTGTAAGCTGCCCCAATTATATGCTTTGACACATATGCTGAACTTGTAGTAGGATCTGTTTCTTGAGACCTGTTCAGAACTGTAGTACAAACCATCATCAATATTGTATATGGGGTAGCATATTGTACTGGTTCATCATTGCAATAATAGTTTTATTGTCTCTATAAGGATTAAGTATAGTTTTTGTGTTGGAATATTATGAGCCCACTAACTGATTATCTAATTGTAGGGTCTCTTGTTTTTATCATCAAATGCAGTTCTTTGTACAGTCTGGTAATAGTGCACAGCACTTCATGGCAAATAAATAGATGGCATCTACCCAAGGAGTTGGGTTTATAATGCTAGAAAATTAATAGCTCATGCCACTGTCAGGCTTTTCCTGAGTGGATGATGTGATTGGGATTTAAGCAGGTGGATTTTCTTTCTGATGGACAGAATATTTTACAGATCTTTTCCCAATGACATTTTCTTTTAAAATAATATATAGACATTGGAGTATGGAATAGGCATTTTTTAACTGAAATCTAAAATAAGGGTATAAACCTCTATGCCAGTTATCCACTGCTTAGAGAAATCTGCAGAAATAATCAAACAGGAATTTTTATTCAATTTTTGTATGTACCCATGGAAAATGCTTTATTCATTCATCCATATTTTCCATTAGCTCACAGTAATGTCCTTCTCATGAAGGTTCTTTAGATGCCGGTATACACTACACATTAGGCAAAAATCACATGAGAGCAGCAGATTGTGCCTGCGGTACAGGGTTCTCTTTGTCTTATTGCTAGTCATGTGTTTTTTAATTAAATAATGAAAAAGTAGTTGTAACCTTTGTTGTATCGCATTACATTAAAAAGCAAGTTGCAAAAATCTACAGAGGTATTTGTAAAGAGCCTATCACTATAGTGCCTAGGAAATAAGACATTATCAGGGCCGGCTCCAGGCACCGGCTTTGCAAGCAGGTACTTGGGGCGGCATTTAAAATGGGGCGGCAATCCGTGTCCCGCAGCGGCAATTCGGCGGCAGCTCCACCGCTCTTCCCACTGCCGTGGCTTTTGGGCTGCAGCTCTGTTGCTGTTCTGGGCCGGGCGGCAATTTGGCGGCAACTCCGCCGCTATTGCGGGGGCGGCAATTCAGCAGTGACTGCTTGGGGCGGCAAAATTGGTAGATTTCAGAGTAACAGCCATGTTAGTCTGTATTCGCAAAAAGAAAAGGAGTACTTGTGGCACCTTAGAGACTAACCAATTTATTTGAGCATGAGCTTTCGTGAGCTACAGCTCACTTCATCGGATGCATACCGTGGAAACTGCAGCAGACATTATATACACACAGAGATCATGAAACAATACCTCCTCCCACCCCACTGTCCTGCTGGTAATAGCTTATCTAAAGTGATCATCAAGTTGGGCCATTTCCAGTACAAATCCAGGTTTTCTAACCCTCTACCCCCCCACACACAGACTCACTCTCCTGCTGGTAATAGCCCATCCAAAGTGACAGCTCTCTTCACAATGTGCATGATAATCAAGGTGGGCCATTTCCTGCACAAATCCAGGTTCTCTCACCCCCTCACCCTCCTCCGAAAACCACACACACAAACTCACTATCCTGCTGGTAATAGTTCATCCAAAGTGACCACTCTCCCTACAATGTGCATGATAATCAAGGTGGGCCATTTCCAGCACAAATCCAGGCTTTCTCACCGCCCCCCCCCCTTTTTTTCCCGGGGACACACACACATACACACACAAACTCACTCTCCTGCTGGCAATAGCTCATCCAAACTGACCACTCTCCAAGTTTAAATCCAAGTTTAACCAGAACGTCTGGGGGGGGGGGGGGTAGGAAAAAACAAGGGGAAATAGGCTACCTTGCATAATGACTTAGCCACTCCCAGTCTCTATTTAAGCCTAAATTAATAGTATCCAATTTGCAAATGAATTCCAATTCAGCAGTTTCTCACTGGAGTCTGGATTTGAAGTTTTTTTGTTTTAAGATAGCGACCTTCATGTCTGTGATTGCGTGACCAGAGAGATTGAAGTGTTCTCCGACTGGTTTATGAATGTTATAATTCTTGACATCTGATTTGTGTCCATTTATTCTTTTACGTAGAGACTGTCCAGTTTGACCAATGTATATGGCTGAGGGGCATTGCTGGCACATGATGGCATATATCACATTGGTAGAGCCGCCCCTGGACATTATATAAATAAATTAGATTACATGTCAGCTCTATTGAACTGACACAACACAATGAAAAATGTTTTTTGAAGTATGCTTTTTTGTTCAGATTAAACATAAAAAATAGTAGTATGTAACTCCTACAGTTTGATTGGGAATGTGTATTCACCAGAGGTGCCTTCCCCGGCATCCCGCTCCGCCGCCAACTGGTCCTGTGAGGGGATGGGCTCCAGAGTTAAAAACAGTTCTTGGCTGTCCACTTGCCTGCTTAACATTCTTTTGCTTCTCCTCCTCCTCAACAATGTCCTCCTCATTGTTGCTCCACAGACATGCCACCCGGGGCTCCCAGGAAGTATCCACAGAGCGTTTTGGGGTAGTGGCGGGTCACCACTGAGAATTATATGCAGCTCCTCATAAAAGCAGCATGTGTGTGGGGCCTCCCTTGTCTTCTGGTACGCTTCCCAAAGCTCCTTTATTTTCATGCGGCACTGCTGCGTGTCCCTAGTATAGCCCTTCTCCCCTATGCCCTGCACAATCTTGGCATAGATATCAGCATTTCTTCTGCTGGATCGGAGCTCTGCCTGCACAGACTTTTCTCCCCACACAGCAATAAGATCCACCACCTTCTGTGTACTCCATACTGGAGCGCATTTGCTGCCTTGAGTCTCCATGATCAGCTGTGCTGGCAAGCTCTCCATGCTGATCAAATGGGAAATGAACATTCAAAAGTTGCTGGGGCTTTAACAGGGGAGTGGTTCTTTCCTGTGTACCTGGCTGATGTTCAATGATGTTGAAAGTGCTCTCCAGAGTGGTCACAGCGAAGCACTGTGGGACACCTGGAGGCCAATTCATTCAAATTCCACAGTGCAGTGTCTACACTATCCCCATGTCAACCTGTGGATGTGGAATCAAGTGCTACACCTCTTGCAGAGGTGGAATACAGAAGTCAACTTTACAGGCCACTTAGGTCGGCGGAAGGGTCTCAGTAGTGTAGATACATACATTATTAGATCAGCTTAACATGGCTTATGTTTGCCTAAGTTTGTAGTGTAGACCAGGCCACTGTCTGCTGTGGACAGCAGGAAACCTCTGCCTTTGTTTCTTTACATTATGTGCTGTGGTGTGTGTTGCCAAGATCAAACCTAAAGTGACTTTCATGAGAAGAACATTAGCATGGAATAACTGAAAAGACAGATGTTTTACCAATAAACAAACATTTTCAGTAGACATTTTTTGAAAACTACAGAGAAGCTTTCTATTTTAATTTCTGTGCAGGTTTCTTTTTGCTTTAGTGGTGGTAATTAAGATGCTTGTACTTTTTTATTTAATAAATTCATAATGTTTCAAGAGCAAAATTACATTTGGCTGTGTTCCCTCACACAGAAATAAACTACTTCTTGTACTGTACCAATATACAAAGTTTGGCTGCATTCTTCTAATGTGGCCTCTATCTATTACTTTGTTTTGCTTTACAGTGTGGAGGGTCCAACTTTTACACCATCCCATCAACTTCTGCCTGTTAGGAATACTCACCATCAACCTTACTCAGCTGCTCCAGGTAACAGCATTGTACTGGGTTTTTTGGATAAAATATTATCTATCTTGTTTTGTTGATACTCTTGCACGATATCTTGATGCAGAACTCCCATTGACTTCCGTGGGAGATCCACACGTGGATAGCTTACAAGGTTGGACCTATAACTTCTTGTGATAAGCACACACTCAAGACAGTGGTTTTTGTGAGGAATTACTGGCTGTACACATTTTATGAAGTTTGGTTTCCACTCTAAGTGGAATATGGCTTTCAACAGTTATTTATAAAATAATTAATATTGTATTCAGTAATAAATTTACCTTTATCTCTTTACTGAGTGATGGGTACTGTGTGCACATGATATAATTCATGTATATGATTGCCATACTTTTGTTTACATTAAAATAAAGATCATTTTACATAAAAACCAAAAAACCTCCAAAAATTTGATAATTTACCATTGAAATATTTGAAACAATGAAAGCAACCGATTTGCTGTACTAACTTGTTTATTTTTAAATGATTTTCCAAGTATTTCCATACATTGTAACTTAGTTACATTGTATTCTATTTTAATTCCAATTAGGAGCCATTAGAAGGTCCTCATCTATGTCTTATGTGGATGGATATGTAGGGACTTGGCCCAAAGAGAAAAGGTAAGTTATCATTACATAGAAGCTGGTTTAAGAAGTAACTGTGGATCAGCCACTAAACAATACTGAACTATATTTAACATAATTTGGACTTTCAAAAAGCCTTTAACAGGAGGCTTTTAAGTAAACCCAAGTCGTCACAGAGTAAGAGGTAAAGAAATATTATTGAGTAGAAACTAGCTCATAGAAAAGAAAACATAGGAATAATTGATCAGTTTTTCAACCTGGTGAAAGGTTAACATTGGGTACTCCAATATTTCATATTATGACTGGTGGTGTTAAATATATTTGTCTGCACGCAATATACTTGAAGTGCCAATAGAAGTCATCAAGATCAGGAGTAGGATTAAAAAAAAAAAAAGGTACTTTTCTATGGATAATGAGAATAGGCTGATGAGAGAGGATTTTAGAACAAAATAGAAGGGCTATAAACTCTTATGTTGTAGGTATAAACCATCACTGTTTGGCTTCTTTTACTTTCCTTTGACGTATCTGGTACTGGCTACTGTCAGAAAGGAAGGATGCTGGATTAGATGGACTGCTAATGTGATTCAGTATGACCAGTTCCTATATTCCTAAAATTGCTTAAGTGTATTACAGATTGGCAGGAATATTTTTTTTTCTCTCTGAAGTTACCCAAAATGAATAAGCATATTTTTCATATGAAAATACAAGCATACGTGTGGTTATAATTTAATACAAGTAATTAGAACAAACAACAAAAGCATGAGACTGAATAAGATGTTATATTCTATTTAATTTTGTATTTTCGTAATGCTAGCAAATGAAGCTAATCATATCTCATTAGTACACATAGTGTACTACAATTTTAGATTGTTTTTTCACAGTAATGTAAGTTTGTTTATTGTATTAAATATGAATTGTTTAACAGCTTTGTTTATTTTAATCCCATTTAGATCTTCGATGCATGGAGTTTCATTTGACATTTCTTTTGATAATGAAAACAGTATTCAGATATCTACTCCAAACAGAGGAATTACTAGATCTGTTAGTAATGAAGGCCTTATGCTAAATATCAACCGCATGCCCAAACACATTAGGAAAAACCTGTCCTTCAAGCCAGTAAATGGAGAAGAGGAAACTCAAGATATTGAAGAAGAAAAGGACATAGTATCTCATATCGACCCAAAGGCCAGTGCATCTCTTAACACAAATGAAAGGAATGCCAATGAAAACAGCCAATACAAGCTTCCAAATGGAGCTCTGCAAAACAGGGTAGTTATGGATGATTTTGGCAATCAGATTGAGACTCCAAGCATTGAAGAGGCTTTGCAGATAATTCATGATACTGAAAAATCTCCAAGTGTTATCCAGCCAGACCAAATTACAAATGGGTTCTTTCTTCATAATCAGGAAATTAGCATCTTGAATTCAAATATTAAACTAAATCAACCTAATCCTGATGTCATTACAGACACAAAAATTGCCCTAAGTCCTGTGACTGACAATACTGAAGTGGACACTGGAATACATGTTCCTTCAGAAGATATTCCAGAAACTATGGATGAGGATTCTTCTTTGAGAGATTATACTGTAAGCATGGACTCTGACATGGAAGACCCACCTAAATGTCTTCAGGATTATGATATACGAGCTAGCAACCACAGAGAGCTATTAAGTCCCTGTCCAAGCTCAATAAGTACCAAATCGCAAGCTGGCAGCAGTGCTTCTTCAAGCTCGGGAGTCAAAATGACCAGCTTTGCAGAGCAGAAATTCAGGAAACTGAATCACACAGATAGCAGAAGTAGTGGAAGCAGTTCTCAGAAAACTACCCCAGAAGGCTCTGAGTTGAATATTCCTCATGTTGTTGCTTGGACTCATATACCTGAGGAAACACCTCTCCCTCAAGGAAGAGACACTACACAGTTGCTTGCTTCAGAAATGGTCCATCTTAGGATGAAGCTGGAGGAAAAGAGGCGAGCCATTGAAGCACAGAAGAAGAAAGTGGAAGCTGCTTTTACTAAGCAGAGACAGAAAATGGGAAGGACAGCATTTCTTAATGTAGTGAAAAAGAAAGGTGATGGAATATCACCTCTTCGAGAAGAAGCAGCTGGAGCTGAAGATGAAAAAGTATTCACTGATAGTAACAGATTGAAAGAAAAAGACATACAAAAACCAGTTGAAGAAATTAATAAGACTGCAGAGGTAATAAAGGAAAGTGCTGAAAATTCTCAGGCCAAGTGGTTAAAGTCCCCTAATACACCTATGGATGCTGAAAAGCAATGGAACTTAGTAAGCCCCGCAGAAGAAACCTTAAATGAAGGGGATATTTTAGAATATACAAAATCTATTGAAAAGCTAAATGCTTCTCTACATTTCCTACAGCAGGAAATGCAACGCCTATCCCTTCAGCAAGAGATGTTGATGCAAATGAGGGAGCAGCAGGCCTGGGTTATTTCACCTCCTCAGCCTTCACCTCAGAAACAAATCCGAGAGCTTAAATCTTCAATGAGGCAAACAGGACTGTCATCTCCCATTGCAGCATTTGCTTTGGAACCTCCTCGCCCTACTCATCAATCACCACAGTCTTCTAATAGGAAGAATGCCTCTTTCCCTGTTAAAATACAAAGGACTCCCAGGCCAAATGAACTGAAAATAATACCTTTTAATCGCACCTTAACTGCTCCACGGTCTGTGGATAGTCTTCCTCGTTTGAGAAGATTTTCTCCAAGTCAGGTTCCCATTCAGACTAGATCATTTGTATGTTTTGGAGATGATGGAGAACGTATATCTGAACCTCAATTAAAAAGAAATCTTTTGAAAGAAGTCAAACCTACAGAGGATGTAGCAAAAGAACAACAACAACAAAAAGGTACTTTGGAAGAATGTGAACAAAAAGTGAAGGAAAAGGAGATCAAGCCTTTCGAATCTAAGGTTTCTGAAGTATTATCTCAGCCCATCACAGAAACTGTCTGCCTCACCCCAAATGAAGATCAGCTAAGCCAACCTGTTTTGCCAACACTGATTCCTAAAACAGCTAACCTAATTGAAGTTTCCCTCTCAGATTTGAAACCACCAGAAAAGGCTGAAGTGTCTGTTGAGAAATATGAAGGTGAGAGTGATAGAGAACAATTCGAGGATGACCAAAAAGTGTGTTGTGGATTCTTTTTTAAGGTAGGTGAACTAGAACAATGCATGAGTCTATTGGAAACATTTTACTTTTTCAAAGGGAGGCTTTTATTTCATAGATGACTTTTCAATAACCACTTTCCACTGAGGCCAACTGCATATAGTGATTAAAAGTGTGTCTCAAATAAATTTGTTAGTCTCTAAGGTGCCACAAGTCCTCCTTTTCTTTTTGCAAATACAGACTAACATGGCTGCTACTCTGAAACCTCTCCGCCATTGTGACTCTTAATTGATTTGGGATCATAGGGATTGTCAATATCTGCCAGCAGTTTTCACCACCTCTTTCAATTCATAAAGTTTAAAAGATGTTTGGGGATTTGGGGAGGGGGGAGTAAAGAAGAAGCATATTGAATATAGGTACATTTTTTTTCTTTTAACACAAGCTTTAGTGCCCACACAAACCAATTTCTTTCATGTTCTTTACTTCCTGACAAAGTTATATAAGATTTCGGAAATTTCATCTCCTTAGAGTACTCTGCGTATTTTAAAAGTGTCACATTTTATATGTGTAGTTAAAAAATTAATATATTGTATACTAAAATGCCTATGTGTAGGCAGAATCTTTTAATCAAAATGTGCATTTTAAAAAGGCAGTTTGGATGCTGAAAGCCACTACTGTTTTGAATGTAGTCTTCAAAATTTTTCTTGGAGTGCACAAAATCTTGCACTGCACTGTTTGAATACCATATATTTAAAGTGATACCGAATTGAGACTGCCTTCTCATGGCCCAGGAACACAGTTTTAGCATATTTTATTCCCTTTTTCGTTCATCACTGAAACTGCTGCATCCACAATATGCATACCCTATCTCCCTCTGGAAACCAATCCATGGTGCTAACAAAATATACTGAACTGGCCAGCAGAGGTTGCTTTATATATTGCATAGTCACATGCTCCTCCTGGAAAACTGTCATCCTCTCCACGTGCACAGCCTACAGTTAACTGTGTTCATTCCTGAACCCCTTGAATTTCATATGATAGTGCCTTGTTACTGCTATAGTACAACTATACAAGCTAACTTAGAGTAATAATGGCAAACCTTTGTATCTTCTGTTTTAATCTGCTCTGAATCCGCCATTTGGAAAGAAAATAGAATTATTTGCATCCATCTGACGAGCAGCAATTTGTGCACATGCATCAAGATCTTTCCCATTACAAATCCTGTTCTGTTTTTGTTTGTTTTTTTTAAGAGTCTGTGAGTGTGTAGAGTGCAATGTAAGACACCAGTCCTGCACTATGGTCCACTAATATGGACACCTCCACTCAGAGTCTCATTGAAGCTAATGGGACTCTGCAAGTGTGCAAGGGTTTATGCTGTTGGATCTGAATAGGATTATGGTCTACAACTGTAACATCTTAACTGTATGCATTGTCTAACTTCAGTATCATCTTTGATGTTTTAACTGAGAAACAGAAACTCTATTACGGCAAATTGTTAAATTAAAACAAAAATTAAAGAAAACTAACTTCTGTAATTGCAGGGGATAATGTGAGATGGACTTTAATTTAACAAATATAAACCCCCTGTAGAATGTCAGAAAAAGTAATAGTGAGTTATTTCTTATTTCCTTTTTGTGGTATTCTTTTGCAAATGTTTAGATTTTTGTTATGATAGAAATAAATCAGTTGGGCCTCAATCCTGCAAACAGGCACTAAGGACCTGATTCACAACCCACTGAATTAATGAAAATATTCCCATTGACTTCAAAGGGCTTTGGATCCAGACTCCTGAGTTCAGTGTGACTACTCAGTGCATAAACTTAAGATAAGCACGTTTTCAGGATTGGTGCCTTATTTTATGCCTTAGTCTTCCTCACCTGCATTCTAAGCCTGTTGACCATCTTTGCTTCCATGCAAAACCCCAGAGCAGCTTTCAGTGAATTTTGAGTAGACAGCCACTTTCACATTGATGAACTGAAAATCTGGCACATCTGAAATATGATGAAAGAAGTTCCTAAGGCACCAATACATCATAAAAATAACCAAGACTGTCACTTTAGCTGTGCAGCACTTGACAATGCATTGTAGGAACATTAATAAAATTTCTTAACTGGCTTTCTTGTAAGGATATGTGATATAAATGGTGGTAACAAGTTTTTTGAATTAATGTTGGGATAAACTTTGTAATGCCCCCTCTCCCCCCATCAACCCCTGGTTGCTCTTTTCCCCTTTGTTTTGGAATGGAATGAGATCTTTGAAGCTTTTTTGTCTTCAAGGGGAGAGATATGTGCTGCTGATCTAGCTGGGGGGTGCCCTCATAAACAGGTCCCAGTGGCTTAAGTTGGAGGCAGCTGTTTGTGTCTCCATGTGGTACTCCTCAAGTGGACGTTTCCTCCTGCTATGGTTTGATAGTTAGATCTGTATAGGTTTTACCACTTTAGTCGTTACCACCATTGTTGATATAAGTGAAGTATAAATTCTTCTTTGACATACCTAAATAATCTCCAAGTGTGTACTGGTAAGGTTTTGGGGGTTGGTTTTGGAGGTTTGGTTTGTTTTGTTTTCCATAGGGTAGGGGAAAGATATTGGAAGGTTTTCAATAAGGATATTTAATAGATTATACCAACACAATCTGAAAAATGTAGACTTTTAGTGACCTGAAGTACACCATATGCAGAATCAAATTATCTTAAAATCTCCTGATCTATTTCTTCCTAAATATTGTTGCTGCTAGGATGATCAAAAGGCGGAAAATGATATGGCAGTGAAACGGGCAGCATTACTGGAGAAACGGTTGAGAAGGGAAAGAGAGACTCTACTTCGAAAGCAGCAACTGGAAGCAGAGCTAGAACATAAGAAGGAAGAGACAAGGTAAAGCTAATTGCATATGCTAATTGCAACATAAGCAAAAATAATATACATGAGCCTTTGCTATGGCTAAAATTATAAAAATTGTAATCATAATGCAATTAGGTCATCCTTCTTTGTTTTCCGCAACAAATCCTTTTCCCACTGTGAGACCAATACTTTATTTAAACCTTTTACCTAAATTGATTTCAGGGAGTTCTGGTACTGGCAAACTGAGTTAAAGACTAAGAGTATATTCTGTCATATCAATTCACAATTCCACTTGAATGAAAGAATAATTTTTCATATGTATTTGAGGGTAGGGTTTGAACTATACTATAAAAGTAGATAACCTTTTTATTCCCGTTATTTACATTTACAATGGGGGTGAGGAGTTTAGCTTCTCTTTTGATGTAAACTGGCAAATTTATATCAGCTGAAGATCTGGACCCATATCTTCTGATTTCCCTGATACAATTAAAAACACGTCCAAAATCTAGGGTGAAAAGAAAGACAAGCTCTCAGTAGATAAATGGAAAACTTTTTAAAAAAACATTAAATCCAAAAATTCCACAATCTGAAGTATGGTTCTAATTTTTCCAGTAACAACATTCAAGTGTGTTAAGTTTTCAGCTGTTTGAAAACTGAGAATAGATCAGTTTATCTTACTTGTATATGAGAACTGGAAAATTCTGGAATAGCCATTTTTTCCCCTGTTACCAGTATTATGGTGGTTACAACTGCTAGTCTTTCCGAGGGAAAGTTTTCTACTAAAACTTTATTTCATGATTTCTTAGGCGCAAGACAGAGGAAGAACGTCAAAAGAAAGAAGATGAGAGAGCACGTAGAGAATTTATTAAGCAAGAATATATGAGACGGAAACAGCTGAAGCTCATGGAAGAAATGGATACTGTAATAAAGCCACGCCCACACTCATCCAAACAAAAAAAGCCACGTCCAAAATCTATTCATAGAGATCATATTGAATCACCCAAAACTCCAGTTAAAGGTCCACCAGGTAACAAATATCAATGTAGAAAGAGTCTGTTCATGATAAAACACCAGCTTGAATTGTGGTACTAACCAAAATGTTCATAGATTAGCCTCACGCTAAACTGATGTACAATTTTTGAAGCTGCATGTCACTGAATTGGAAAAAGTAGAATTTACAAATGGAAGTTAATGATGACAAATGTTGCTGATATATTATGCATGCATGCATATAAGAAGAAACGCAAAGGTTTGCTCGATGAACACCAGCAAAAGCACTAATGTCTGGCATGATTTTGTGTACGCTCATGTATTCTTTCCACTCACTAACCTCTTCCTTGCACCTGTAGAGCTAACAATGAGTAGAACATTTGGGAGATGTGCGATTAATAAATAAAATGGTGACTATAAGGTAAGAGTCCTTAAGCTGCTGCTTCATCATAGACTAAAACTAAAGTACATCTGAAAAGTTACCTTTATGTTCTGGTGTTCTTTTATTATGAATACTTCACCCACTCGCCTGACTTAGTGCAAGTGTACTTGTGATCCCTGTGAGAATAGTCCTATGGAAAAGTGTAGCATGTCATTAATTATTTAAGAATGTAGAATAATGATTTCAAAGAAACTATTAACAATTTACAGTTAGAGGAAAGTGCAGTGTCCTTATTTGTGTTTTTAGCAGTAAGTTTTCCACATCCTTCGCTGTCGTGCCATGTGTGCTTTGTCATGGCTGGTTGTTACCCTCCACCTTATTTCAGTGCAATTTAAAATGCTCTATAACAATCCATTCAAAATTCTAGTGGGAAATTAATTCCACTGTAGCTAGATCTGGTTTGCTGATTTTGCAACTTTAATCTAGTGCCCAGATTTCAGCTCTACATTTCACATTAATGCTTAGCCTCAGAAAACTCCAGATTCAAGTAAGTTCCATTGTTATTGTGTCTATAAATACATGGATTAACCTTGCAACATATGCATGCAGGCATACTGTATATAGAAATAAGAACACTTATCAATTTCCTTCTGCTGGTGTTGTGTCTAATGAACAGACTCTTTGCTATTTGCCTGCTTTTTCATAAATTTTAACTTTGTTTTTATCCAGGTTCACAACTTTATCGTGTTTTTTCAGTATCTAGTCTTTCATTGGCATCACTGAACACAGGAGACAATGACAGCGTGCAATCAGGCAAGAGAACGCCAAGGTAAAGCTGCAATAACACCTTTATTTAATATAAATTGGTGTTTATCTTCAGAAAACTGGCATACGTACTAAAATGCTTAAAGAACCCAAGTTGTATATTTTGTATTCTGACAACTGATACTCTTTCCTGATCTGCAACACTGATCCTTCACACTGTCGGCTGATGAAGAACTGAATTATGTGCGTTAATTTTCACAAATGCTGCTGATTGTGCAGCTGTGAATGAGTGCAAAAGAGCACATCCACTGGATTTTTATCAGTGCTATCTCTTTAATTCACTCCTTGAGCTTTGGGCTCAACCTGTAGATTCTTTGTTCACATGCTGTCAGTTTATATGCCAAAGTACTTTTTTGCTGATTTGATAGAATTGTTGTGTTTTTTGTTTTTCTTAGTGGCTGCACAAAAGTAGTCAGGAGCTAACCAGAACTTAACTGGCATTTTTTTCACCAGCCTTGGCTGAATACCAGAATTTATTGTGAGTTAAAAGCCAGTGTGGTGTTTTCACTTGAAAATGATATTATGAAAGGTTGAATTAAATAAATAGAAGTTCATACAATTACATTCAAGAAGAGAGGAGTGAAGGAAAAGGAAAGGTAGTTATTCTGAGGCTCAGATCAGACTTAACCCAACTCCATCCTGTATTTACTGCCACCATGCTTTACTTCTCAACTGTGAGCAGCCCTGTAGCTTTAATGAGCTACTGCCTCACTGTTCTTCATGCTGTGACAAAGTTCCTCCTCTGCCTTGGTGGGTCCTGTGCTTATTGGAGGATTTGCTCACCTCAGAGATTCACGGCAGCCCTCAGTGTGGCCACTTTTGCTAGTGGCTCAAACCTGCCATTCACTCAGCTAACCTCATCACTGGCCAGCAGGGGGAAAAGGAAGGAGAACAATCCCCGCAGTCTCTGCCAGTCCACTTAGTGGGTCGGGGGACAGACCAGCGACTGCCCCTGTTACCTTATCCAGGGAAAAAGGACCTGCTTAATCTGGAGCAAATATATCTGCCTTCTATCACTCTCCTGTAGCCATCTGGCCTGACCCTGTCACAATGGTTTGAGCATTGGCTAATTGCTTGTCACAGTAGTGCATAAATTCTTTTAATTAAATGTATTGTGTATTTGGCATCTCTTTAAACTATCGGTTTTATTTGAGAGGAGGTGTACTGTAACTATATTTAGCTATTCTACAGAAAAAAATAAAGCCTTGTCTACAATGGTTTTATTTACACCAGGTTAGCCACATGGATATATCTGTACTTGTGCAAAACCTTAGTGCAGATGTGCTGCACTGAAGTAACAATGACTGGAACGCATGCATCTTATTGTGGCTTCAGATGTGATTCAGAGCTTGAGTTTTCAGAATGTTGTAGAATCCAGTAAAAATTGATGAGGCATGGAATTTTCAGGATCATTGATTTTATTTTATTTTTGGTAGGAAAGGGGTGAATTGCCATAATTTTCTCCTTTTTCCTCATGTCAGAGAGTTGAAGGGGTTTTCTTTCGAGGATTTTATTGTTTGAATTTCATAAAGATATTTTGAAATCTCCCTCATGCACAGGCTGAGTAGAGTAAACGTACAGTGATATTACAAGTGAAATGAAGCTTAATTAGCTGCTGAGATTTTACCAGATGTTAATTGAATGTGCTTAGAAAGTGTTTTTAAAATCACTTTTTTTCTTAATTTCTTCAAACAAGCAAGGCTTGTTCAGGACCATATCCATGCCAAGTTTCAAACTTGACCAATTTTTGTAGTAGTCCCATTCAAAGAAATTTAGAATTTAACTGAAAAAATATAGCTGAAGGGATTTTGCTCACACTTTCCACACATAAAAATATTCACATTTGGAGCAGAGTGTCATTTCATAAAAATTCAAGGGGGACTGAGGGAGAGGATAAGGTGGTATCAGCATATAGAACATTATATGTGATTACATTATATCCTGCAAAGTCTGGGGAGGGCAAAAAGCAGAAGACCTATAGGCCTAGGAAAAGTCAGGGGAAGCAAATAAAGGTCAAGGGGGAGAACTCCCTTCCTTGCCCCATAGCAAATGACTCCCATGATTCTAAGGACAAAGCATTATTATTTCAGCCCCAATGGTTAATGTTTGTGAAAACAAAAGGTTATAATGGAAACTGTTTTGCAACCTTAACTATAGCAGTCCTTACTGGCAGCTGCTATAATAATGCCATCATCAGTAGAAATGGGAAAACAAACCTTGTACTTCTTGTTAATCATCCTGTCAAGAGCAGGCTTTCTCCCTATGGAAAATTCTCAAATGTTTGTTCAGTGTAGTTTTAAATGATTCAAGCAAAATTCAGTAAGACTGTTCTACAGCCTAATAGATTTTGTTAGAACTGTTTCCTTGATATAGTCTACAATTTCATACTATTATTACTCTTTGTAATAGCTTTTGGAACACCTTAAATAATACATGCGACAGAAGGTAAATGTACAGAGTTGCTCCTCTAATTCTTCTGGTAGCATTACAGCTTTGGGCTTTTAGTCTACATTTCATATCCTGCTATCTTCTATCACAGTAATATATTCTAAGCACAGTTGCCAACTTTCACATGGTAAATAAGTACCCCAACTTTCACAGTAAGCCATAAATCAAGCTAATCCCATTTCAAAACAAGGCCAAAACAAGCCAATCCCTAAGAACCCCAATACTCTCTGTGACTAGATCCCCGCAGCATTTAGTCCGGGACTGGGGTGGGCCTACTGTGCACTCTGACTCTCTCCCCATGCTTGCCCCCCCTTGCCGGGAGCCAATCAAAAAAGAAGAAGCAACAAGCTGCAAGCCAAACAAGCTGCAAGCCAAAAACAAGCCCAATTTCTGCATTTTTTTCGTGGGTTTGGTACATCTGATTCTAAGTTTTCTTTTGATGTTAAAAGGCCATTCTGCTGAAAATAAGGGGACTTTTTCATAGATATGTTCTACTCAGTTCTGAAAGGAAAACATATTTTTGCACATTTTTAGGTCTGAGTCTGTGGAAGGATTCTTATCTCCCAGTCGTTGTGGTAGTCGCAATGGGGAAAAAGATTGGGAAAATGCATCTACAACTTCTTCAGTGGCCTCTGCTACAGAATACACAGGTCAGTGTTGGTAATGTTCTCAGGGAAATGTTTGGGTATAAGAAGGGTCTGTGTATGCAGAGTTTTGGTTCTCCTTTATTTGCAATTCCTACAACGTGACTAAGGACTCTTCCTTAAAGACTTGAAATTAATCTTCTATAATAAAGAAGCAAATGTCTAGACTGTCTAAAAATGGCGTAATTTAATATATAAAATAAAAAATATTGGTAAAATAGGAAATGTGGTATATTAAATAAACATACTAAACTACAAATTTAGGCCAAATCCCACAAACACATAAGTAATTTTATGCAGGTCCTATTAAAATTGTTTCTATAGCAAGAGAAGGAAAGAGTGTAGAAAATACAGGATCAGTCTGTAACCAAAAGCTTCAAAGAGAAAAATATAAGTGCCATAGGAGAAAAAAATCTATTCAGTAATATAAGTTTAAATATAAAAGAATTGAAGAATTGTTTGAAAGCCAACAATACACCATAGTTTACATCTTGTTTCAAAACAGACCACTCTTTAAAAACTAAAGACTTATTAAAAACTCTCAACTGCCTTACTTCTAATATTTCAGTGGCCTACGAGTCTAACAATAGAGACATCATCTTCATCCTCTTTTTCCGTGTGTGTAGCGTGTGATATTACAAAATGTCTTGCATCATTATAATAATAAAATCTGTGTTTTTGTCCATGTAATATCGCTCAGTCTGGCAAAGAATAGCTCTGAAGTATCAACAGGTATTGTAGATAAACAAGCTTTTAAGGAGGTTAATTTTGATCTATGAGGCTGTGCAGCTCTAGCTATGCTGGGAAATTTGTATGTTCTGAAAATAAACTATTTTCCTCTTCAACACTACTGCAATAACTACAGAAGAGGCCAAATTTACAATCTGGATACTGCACAGTATTTATCTACCAATCTTTGAGAGCACTTTCAACCAACTTAATCGCTTCCTCGCATCTCCTCAGGATTAAGTCTAATACAGGTACTAACACTGGACTTAGGTTGTCTCCTTTAGTTCTCTCAATAAGACCCATTGCCTAAAGGGGGGGAAGGGGTTTGTTTGGTGGGGGGTTTTTTGTTTGTTTGTTTTTTAACTTTTCAGACTTTGTTTTTAAAGCAATGTGATTTTTTTTAAGGAACTCAGGGTCTTTTGCCACATAATTTTGAATACTCTGTGGTTTATAAATCAGATTTCTTACATCTTTTCCCATTGATTCTGTTCTTCCATCCAGTCAATTAGTTAGTCTGAGACAGTGAAAGTTAATCTTGACTTTAAATCATTGGTGGCCTTTAAGATTATGTTCCCTTTTATTAGTCATCATAACTATGCCTCCTTTCGAAGTGTCTTGACTCAAACAGGAAGATAAATTGCTGAATCTATTTTCCATTGACCAATCCCTCAAAATTGTGAGGGTGAAGAGCCAAACATCTTCTAGAGGGCCTCTGATTCTTAAGCTTCACGTGGTGCTTTGATGCCATTAGGTTATATCCCCACCACAAAGAACAGTTTATTCAAAAATATACTTGATACATTTTTCATCTGGGGGAAGAGGTTTTTGGTTAAACTTTTTGCAGTAAAATTTTCTTCTAGTGAATGGCTTTTCCACAGGACTGGGTCACCAATTAGAGTCAGCAAGAGGGGGGATACCATCAACCTCTCTACAGCTCACAACCCTACACTGCACACTTGTCAGAAACCAAAGCAGAGACAGTTTCTAATCATTCCTGATGGAACAAGCCCTTCAGGCAGCCTTGAATGACTTGTCAGAATCAGCACCAAGCCTTTCTGCCTTCATTGTGGGCAAGTCGCAGTTGGGATTCCACAAGACCTCCAATCCCAGAAGGCAGGCAGGAGACCAGTAATTCTAAACACTGCAGCAACTCACTGTTATCTGTTTCACCCTTTAAAACTAGGGGCAGAGGAAGAAATGAAAATCATCCTCCTCTTAGTTGGTCAAAGGATTTTTTTTTTAAATACAAAGTATTTGAGTAGATTATCATGTGAACAGTTTTTATCAGGCATATTCAAGGTAGTTCCCTAAACTGCCCTCTGATGCTCTAATGCTGAAGGACATATCATTGAGTGATCTAGTAATATTTAAAAAAAATCTTTTTTCAGTTTTGACAGTTGTACCACATTATATTCATATATAATCCTGTGATACAGTAACAGAAGAATAGCAGTCAATCAATGTATGTGTGTAACAGGTCTGATTTCTACTTAATTCCTTTGTGGGTGCTAGGATTGTATTGTTACATACACAAACGAAACATGGAAAAAGTGTTTCATGGTGTTCGAGACTGCTTTCTGTATAGCTTATTGAATCACTTAGCTGATTTGTCGATTCTGTTTCATAGGTCCAAAGCTCTACAAAGAACCCAGTGCAAAATCCAATAAGCATATTATTCAGAATGCTCTGGCTCATTGTTGCTTGGCTGGAAAAGTAAACGAAGGTCAGAAGAAAAAAATATTGGAGGTAAGGATATTTTCCCTCTGATGATTAAAAAAAAAAACATTAAATCCAGCCTCCTTTGAACATTAGGGAGACGTGCCAGGGTGGAGGGAACAGTGTAAAGGAATCTTCCTCCCAAGGCTGTGTAAATGCTTTGTGGATGGCTAGAGTAGTCTCAGTGATCCTGAGCCTGTCCCCTCTATGAGTAAAGGACCAAAAGAGCAAGGGGTATTATGAAAACAGTTGTATAGGCTCATGTAATTAAAGAGTATCATAATACATATGCTGAAGGTGACTGAATTAATTATATGCACAGGCAATCTTAATTCTGGCATGTGCTAACTTTTAAATGCTTGATTTAGCAACCTACCATTCTTTTCTTTTAACAGGTTTTGAAAACATTATTTTCCAAGTTTTTTTTTAAAAAGCAAACTGAAAAAAAGCAATTCCATTTTGTGGAACCTATATGGATCATCAGCAGAGTTGGGATCTTTAGATCCATAGCACAGATCTCTACTGTTTAACCTAATGGAGTAATTGGTAGTAATAGTAAACTGTTATCCTCAATGTACAATAGCCACCAGAGTGGTATGAGACACACGCTTTGCCAGTGGGTTTACAGCTGTTTGCTGAGAGCAGAGCAATGTCAAGATTTAAGAGTGCTGGATTCAATTCCAGATTCTGGAGGTGTGTGTGTTCTAGTAGGTAAGGCCTTCTGCCCCAACCTCTCCCTCTGCTCTTCACCGGTCTTTATTCATGTCAGAATGCTTCCTTCTCCTCCATACTATCTGGGTGAAAGCAGAAGGGGCTCCAAGAGCACAGGAAAAACAGTCTCTCTGCTGGCAGTGTTGGTGCCTGGCACCATAACAGCTCCCAGCAGTACGAAGGAGCAATTGCAGAGAAGGTCATGCTCCGCTCCTGCAGCCCTAGAATGGAGCAGGCTCAGTCACTTGTCGGGGACTGCGCATGCTCAGTCTAGTCAGCATGTAGGAGCTGATTCAGATGGATCATGATCTGTGCAACTGGAATCTTTAGACCATAATGCTTACAGTCTCTAAGAAGCCTCTACTGAACGTGTGCTAACTGTAATTTTTCAGAAACTTATAGATTGGCCAAATTTGGGTGGATTTTTAGGGAATGGCAACAAGCACACCTTCAGTACTAAGGCAACCTCCCTTGCAAATTGCAAACCCCTGCTCCCAAGTATGGAGGTGCTAGAGAAATAATAATAATAATTAATTAATTATTATTATTACTCTAGCTGTAATAATTTTTAACCTGGGCAAAAAAAAAAAAAAATTCCCCTTACCTCCTTCTTAGGAACAACTGCACTGTTTTTGCTTATTTATTTTTATAAAAAAATGAAAATTCTTCCTGAGGCAGACATCCAGCATGCAAAAATTTAGCTCTAATAGTTGAAGTTTGGGAAAATTGTAATTAACTGAAAACAGGGTCCTATGGAAAGTGTTATACAACTTGAACTATAGATCAGCCTATAATGTGTTTAAAATAAAACCCCCTACAACTTAGAGTTGAGGGTTTCCTACACGTAATATAAATTTCACATTGTAAACACTTTTTTTCTTTTTCTTTTAAAGGAAATGGAGAAATCTGATGCTAATAACTTCTTAATCCTATTCCGGGATTCTGGCTGCCAGTTCAGATCTTTGTATACATACTGCCCTGACACTGAAGAAATCAATAAGCTGACTGGGATAGGCCCCAAATCAATCACAAAGAAAATGATAGAGGGGCTATATAAATACAACTCTGACAGGAAACAATTTAGCCACATACCTGCTAAAACTATGTCTGCCAGTGTTGATGCAATTACCATTCACAGCCATTTGTGGCAAACCAAGAGACCAGTAACTCCTAAAAAACTCTTACCTACCAAGGCATAGTGGGGAAAATATTTGTTTCAGACAATGTGATAAACTTGCACTTCATCTTTACTGCCTATAGAAAATAGGTTTCTAGTTGCCAACAAGACTTATAGAACTTGAAATTGGACAAGCTCTTTTATCATATACAACTGGAATGTAAACACAGTATTTAGGAGTACAGAAGATTGTCACTTAGGTGATACAACTACAAGTGATATTGGAAATATCTGATTCATGTGTGGAGATTTGTATGTGCTAATACAGACTATAGGGTACATTTGCTCTGTATTTTGATTAGATACATAAGCACTGAATGTTGTTCATCTGCAGTGACTGCAATTACATTTTTTACATTTCTTGCCTTATGCTTTTGTGTTTGTGCTTGTCTTGAAATTTAAATTTCTTGCTGTTTTTTCCTTCACTTTTCTTATTATTTTCAGTGTCATTGAATTTTTCTTAATGAATCCCATCATGAAATACAAACAAAAAAAGTTGTCTATTATGAGGTACAGAACACTCTATGGTTATTCTAAGACATACTGGTCTTGTTCTGAAAGACCCTCATTGTATGTTCTAATCATTACTGAAAGACCCATCCCACTGAGTATTTCCAGTTCCATTTCAACTCTGTAATACTGGTTTATTTTTTTTTAAATATTAAAGGAATTCTTTGAGCTGCTTAAAGGGAGGTTTCCTTCAGATTAAATTATTATTTAGCAACTAAAATATTCAGGAGAGTCACAGTATTCACTAACTAAATCTGTTTTTTTCACCTCAGTTCTACGCAATTCAGCCTTAAACAAGTTTTGTTGTGGATAGACATCTGATATGGGTTTCAGTCTGTCCAGCTTTTTAAAAAGTAAATCACTTTTTTTACATACCCTGACAAATGACATTTTGAGAATCTCTTATCCATTTAAAATAAGTATGGCAAAGAACCTGGTTGACATTTCAATCTTTATAACAAATATAAACATTTTTGAAAATAGCCATTGGAACATATTTCAGTATTATTTACAAAGGGCTGCATTTTGATTTCATAACAGTGTTTCTATCACTATTGTTCTTAGTGTTTTTCTTTTGTATAATTATTTTCAGTGTGGCACTGTTCTGAAAAAACTACAAACTTGAAACCTCCCCCAAATCTGTGGTTTTTTTGGCAACGTGTACAAGAGGATTAGTTGGTGGGAGGGGGGGCAAACTCATTCTCAGGAAAAGATTTGAAAGATTTATGATCCTGTTCTGTTTGTGTTGTGACAACTGTGTAAACATAAGGACAGTATTATGCTATAACTATGTAGTTCATTCTGTTTCATGGGGAGTAGAGACTAAAATTATGTACATTTCTCTCATTGAACTGCTTCGAGAGAAATAATGCCTCACTACTATGATGTACTCATTTACTTATATAAAAGATTCACAGGAATGAGATGTCCTTAAACAGTTTAGAACAGTACTTTTTTAATTATTATAAGGCCTTAGGCATAAATGCATTGGGTTGTTTATCAACATTTTCTCAAATGCTGTCAATATTTTACTATAATTTATGTTCTTATATTTATGTATATTTGTTAAAACTGTAAAAAAAAAAGAAAAAACACTTTAAAATATATGTTTAAAATGTATGTGGCTCAAAACTACTTGTCGCTAGCTGATTCCTACTGTTTGCATGTATATGATCAGGATATGTAACTCTTATATTTCAAGTGTATATATATTATATAAAAAATATAGAGGAGAAAGAGGGTTTGCACATTCTGCCTGTTAGATAGCTCCTACAACTACTGTTATATGAACTTGTGTATAGTAAAAATGAGTTCAAGAAAAGTCAGTGCTGGAGTAGGGAGCGGGTGGATGGAATTAACAGACGTGGATATGGTGAATAAGTTTATAAAGGTTAATCATGGGAAGCCTTTTTCTTCCTAAAACTGACCTAGGATTTGACTGAACACTTGCAATACTCACTAGTACATGCACATCCATCTCAACAAAGTGAGTTAAAATACATGCCATAGGGATTCTTTGAATCATTTAAAATATGACTGAATATATTATGTTCATATTTGTCTACAGGTTAAAAAAATGTGTAGTGTCTAAAGGAAGAATATGAATAATGCAGTTGAAAAGTCCATTGCTCACAGTCTAAAATTTTTCTTAATACAGGAAAAGTGAAGACAGACGCTTTTTCTTTTTTAAGCCTGCAAATTTTCTAATTACAGTGTATCTTTGGTTGGGGTCATGTTTAAAAAAATAAAAAAGGAAAAAAGCTTTTCATAAAGGCCAGCATTTATCACTGATCTTTTCAGAACACACTGGTGCTTTCATCAGGGGTATTATTATTATTGTTGCTATGACTGAATTTGCCAAACACTCATCTTAATTTCCAGAGCAAAACTTCAAATTCTAACAGTCATAATTGCTACTGAAACCATTTTTAAAATTTTAGTATGACTGTTTGTTTTTATTGTTTGGCTGTTTAAAGCCAAATACAGCTATTTAATTATGATTTAATGGGCACTGTTGAGAAATGTACAGTGTATTGTGTGCTTACTTGTCCACTTCTGTGGATCATTGCTTCCATATTTTTTCAAATAGTGTGCTGTAAAATATTGTCATATTGCTACTTATGTGGTACAGTGTAGTTTTTCCTTTCAGTTAAATAAAAGCATGGCACCAAAAACCATACATTTTCTCGCGCTCTCTCGTATTATGTTTAAATATAAACTGAAAGTGTGATTAATCAATTTATCTGTTCAAAGCATGCTCATCATGGTAGCTGAACACCTTACAAATTTTAGAAAAAATACATAGAGATTTCTATTTTCTCTTCATCCCCCATTTATGTTTATTTTATTTAACATGTAACTCAGTGTTCTATTATCAGAAGAAGGCTGTTAAAGAACTGGATTTAACAACTCTTTGCCTTCAAGAATGAAATGTAATCCTAATCTCTTCCAAAAGTAAATTCACAGTTGCAGGCCAGTTGCCAAGATAATTGCATCTCCCATGCACACTAGTCCCAGTCTTATGGTTAACTTTCACTGTTCCAAAGGATTGGTCTAATTTTGGGAGGTTATCATTCAGCATAATGTGTTCATGTCAATAGCTTTGGTTCAGCCTGTGGAGGGTTTTTCAATATAAAATGAAGCCTTGTACTTGATTGCTGTTTAAAGGGGAAATGGTACAATGGGCAGAACATGAGGTGAAGTGTTCCCGGTTATCTGTGTTGCAACACAGAAAGCCTGCTGCCTTTTGAATGAACTAAGGCTTCTTAAAAGTTGTCCGCTTTTTGTGAAATCCCTTGTACTTCCCCACTGTGGTGTATATCTTGGTCAGAAGAAGTTTCAAAAAATTAAGTTAACTTTTTCCAGATATGTAAATTAGCAATTTAAATATTTTGAGCTAACCTATGCCCATTTGATGGAATCTTGCATTTGTTTTTTAGCTTTATGGTCTTTGTTCTGCATACTTTTCTGGAATCCCAGTGATCTTGGTTTTGGGGCTAGGCTACCAAATTTACAAAATTTAAAACTCTCTGATGGATTTTTCTAGCCACGTTTAGAGACTCAACTGAGGTTTCAACTCCCTCCTGTTGACCAAGATATATCATACCTCAGGTCACCTGTTCATAAAAAGCAAGATGAAACTGCTTATGGAGCTGCTAAAAATATGAGAAGTCAGGAAATCTAATGGCTGTTACATCACTAGATAAGACATTGGAAAATAAGGCACTGGTTCAGAAAAGCACTTAAAAATGTTCTGGTCCATCACTGAATCAGGGCTGAAGTTCCTGCATGAATGTTGTAAGAAGGTACCTAAACCACCTTGATCAAGCAGTGCTTCAAGATGACAAAGCTATAAGCAGAAGAAAAGTATGATAAAACTGTAAATGCAGTAAATAAATTGTTTAACTTTGATTACAACAACTTGAAAACCAGTTGCAGGATCACATTCAAATTCTTGCATTGCAAACGAAAACAAAGATGATCTAATCTTATTCTTGGGGAAATAGACACCAGAGATATTCCAACAAAATATGCAGATAATCTGGTCATGGCAGAAAGAGCCTGCTGGTTCACCACCATAGGACAGCATCTTTTTACCAATCTAATGGACTAAAAAGTGAATTCTGCAAGAAGATAAGGAACTGGAATAAAGGGACACACACACATCCCCTTTTTCCAGATCTGAGGCCTACCACACAAAGTTAAAAGGTGATGCTTGGCCTCATTCAAACAAGACTTTAAAATAAGCAGAAGTGGTGATTATATTCCAGAAAATTCAATTCCATGGGAAGTGAAGTCACTGCTATTGAATCATCAAGACAACTGTTAAACCTACTGCCAGTGGATTCCTTGTCCAGGCTTATTAAACCCTAACATGATAATAGTGATGGCCAAATCATCTCTAGAATACTTGGATGCATTTCTGTTAGCATGTGATTTGTGGATTTTTTTATTTACAGTGCTTGTATCCTTTTTATTCATTTATAATTTTCTTCTCTCACTACAGCAGATGAAAGTAAGGTAAATCCCCGTGATCTTGATTATGGGGCCAGGCTGCCACGTCAGGTGAAATAATGTATCTATGTTGACATACTGCATACAATAATTGTCAGCATGACTGACCATATAACCAAAGAGTCAGAAACTTCCTATCCAACACAATTACATTTTAATCACACAGCCCATGATAGACCTTTTACATTCTAAATTGAAATTGAAATTTAATCTTTGGTCTGTCGGAAATTATTTCTATAAATATGCACTATAAAAACCTTTCTTCAGGGACCATTATCTTTACAAAAAAGAGCAAAATCACCTCTGCATGATGATCCTGGAAAATCATAAGAGATATTTTGGTTCCTTGACCTGAGGCGTCTACTCATTCTGCAAGATAGCACACTCCACTCTCTAAACACAACAGTGAGGTAAAAAACCCTACTGAGTACAAACCCAGGAAATTCATTTTATACAAAGGAATAATCTGTGGAGGAGATAAATGGGCCCTGGGATATTTTTGTTCTCCGCCATATCTGCAAATCTGGGGGACAAATTGTTAGCTAACTACCAGCAGACAGTCTGTCAATGACTTTCAAAGAATTGAAAAACAATTTTTATTTCTCATGACTGAAATTTTTTTAATTTTGTAATTTAGAATTCAGAGAACATTCCCGCATAAAAACATGAATTCTAAAATAGGCAAATTTTTATTTGATCTATTTAATGGACTTAAATCAGGTCAAATGGATGCTCATTCATATATTTCAACATGTTTCATAGGAATTCTAATTCCACCATGAAACTCTACTAATACAATTTGGATAGTTCCTGAAGCCTGAGAACATAAAAAATGAAGACAATTAAACACTATAAAGTTATTTTAATAAGAACATCACTGTTCCCAAAAGTTTGAAGTCAATTTTTTTCTTTTAAATTGGCAGAACTACTGTAAATACCTGAATTTCATAGATGTTGAACACCCTGAAAATCTCATTGGCTATAAAGGGCAAATGGGATGTTTGGTAGCTCTCAGAGTGTACTTACACTGTTAAAATTTCTTACTCTCCTCACAATTTGATTAAATACAGAGAGATTCTATGAGCCTCATTCTTAGCTCCACTCAAGTACCCAGGAAGCCATCTTAACTGGCTTCCTAAATAGTCCCTTTAGGTGGGGGATGTTGCTTTTTGTGGCCTGAACAGTTAGCCAGCAGTTACCCAATATTCAGAATCCTATGGGTTGTTTCTGTTAGGAGGAGAAATTGATGAATACAAAAGATATTTCTTTGATGCAGTCCTACTCCTAGAAACACTTCCATCAAACAATGCCCAGCAAAACCCTTCTTCCCCCATAGTTCAGTTTCTCACCAGCCTTGCATGAGGCATGTGTGTTGGGGGATGGCTCTTATTTTTTCAGCTATCCTACTCCAAAAAGGCGCTTAACTGCTTCTTGCATTTATCCTGTGTGAAGGGCAGCTGTCATGCGCACCAGCATCACAGAGATTTCACAGATGGCATAGCAGCTTTATGCCACCCACTAAACCCACTGCTTGCAGCAGAGGGAATTCCTGCAAGAAAGGGGCAGAATATTACGTAAATTAAGTTGTCCTGGGATAAGAGGGAAGATCCTTTTATGGATTGAGAACTGGTTAAAAGACAGGGAATAAAGGGTAGGAATAAACGGTAAATTTTCAGAATGGAGAGGGGTAACTAGTGATGTTCCCCCTAGGGTCAGTCCTAGGACCAATCCTATTCAACTTATTCATAAATGATCTGGAGAAAGGGGTAAACAGTGAGGTGGCAAAGTTTGTAGACGATACTAAACAGCTCAAGATAGTTAAGACCAAAGCAGACTGTGAAGAACTTCAAAAAGATCTCACAAAATTAAGTGATTAGGCAACAAAATAGCAAATGAAATTTAATGTGGATAAATGTAAAGTAATGCACATTGGAAAGAATAATGCAATTATACATACAATATGATGGGGGCTAATTTAGCTTCAACTAATCAGGAAAGAGATCTTGGAGTAGTCATGGATAGTTCTCTGAAGACGTCCACGCAGTGTGCTGCGGCAGTCAAAAAAGAGGATAGGATGTTAGGAATCATTCAAAAAGGGATAGAGAATAAGACGGTGAATATCTTAGTGCCCTTATATAAATCCATGGTACGCCCACATCTTGAATACTGCGTACAGATGTGGTCCCCACATCTCAAAAAAGATATACTGGCATTAGAAAAGGTCCATAAAAGGGCAACTAAAATGATTAGGGGTTTGGAATGGGTCCCATATGAAGAGAGATTAAAGAGGCTAGGACTTTTCAGCTTGGAAAAGAGGAGACTAAGGGGGGATATGATAGAGGTATATAAAATCATAAGTGGTGTGGAGAAAGTTAATAAGGAAAAGTTATTTACTTGTTCCCATAATATAAGAACTGGGGGCCACTAAATTAAATTAATAGACAGCAGGTTTTCTTCTTCACACAGCACACAGTCAACCTGTGGAACTCCTTGCCTGAGGAGGTTGTGAAGGCTAGGACTATAACAAGCTTTAAATGAGAACTAGATAAATTAATGGAGGTTAAGTCCATTAAGGGCTATTAGCCAGGATTGGTAAGGAATGGTGTCCCTAGCCTTTGTTTGTCAGAGGGTGGAGATGGATGGCAAGAGAGAGATCACTTGATCATTACATGTTAGGTTCACTCCCTCCGGGGCACTTGGCATTGGCCACTGTCGGCAGACAGGATACTGGGCTGGATGGACCTTTGGTCTGACCCAGTATGGCCATTCTTACATCTCTACACCTCACTGATCCTCAGCAGACAGAATGACCCTTTTGGTTGATAGGCAGCTAAGTGTAACTTAGCGCACCACTGTGGCTCAGCTCTAAGTTATACCAGGGAGAGGACCAGCCCTGGGATCAAGGGAAACACATGGTGATTTAGAACTACCTTTATTTCCCGACCCACAGCTATGCAGAGCATATCTTGCCTGTAGATGAGGATCTAGCTCTAGCTATCTGCAGATACCTTTTTCCAATTGCTGTATTATTTTTATTTAATAAAGATGTTAAATCCTTGGCCTTTGCAGAGCTATCTAGTTGTATCATCTCTGATACTAAAACAGCATTTCTTTGCCACTTTCTAGTGTTTTTGAGAGCTGAGCAAGCAGTCCTTAAAGAAGTGTGGTCATAAAGTGTGATCTTGAGATCCATAACCCCTTCCGAGTGTACTGTCAGCTTATGGTTAGTTAGCTAAGCTTTTCAAACTGTGACATTCCAAGTATCCTGCATTTTAAACAAGACTTCAAATTATCTTATTCTAAATTTGGACTTTATAGAAGTCCAACAATTTAAAGGAAACCATTCTATACCTCCACAGCTTCTCTCTCTTTTCTTATAAAGAAATCACAATTTAGTTTTCCTATAGCTAAACACAGCAATTCTAGGAAAAGATCAAAACATTACCATTGTGGAATCAAAGCTGATGGGTAAAGTGAGGTACATGCAGACTCTTAGACCTGCTCACCTACACTTACTGATGTAAAAGGTAGTTTAAAGAGGGCTTCTCACATGTAGAGGAGCCAGAAGAAGAGGTAAGTTACAATTAGTGATGGGGCTACTTTAAACTTACACCTTCCTGCTAGAAAGAAAAGCAACTACATTCCTATCTTCTTGTGAATTACACCAGCTAAGATTCCCTCACAGTCATTGTCATTGGGCTGTGTAAGTTACATGTTGACAATAAGCGTGAATCTAAGCCCTGGTCTACACTACAGGGTTAGGTCGAATTTAGCCACGTAAAGTCGATTTTATAATGAATGCGTCTACACAAGCAACCCCATTCCATTGACCTAAAGGGCTCTTAAAATTGACTTCTGTACTCCTCCCCGGCGAGGGGAGTAGTGTTAAAATCGACTTTGCTAGGTCGAATTTGGGGTAGTGTGGATGCAAATCGATGTTACTGACCTCCGGGAGCTATCCCAGAGTGCTCCAATGTGACCGCTCTGGCCAGTGCTTTCAACTCCGATGCACTAGCCAGGTACACAGGAAAAGCCCCAGGAACTTTTGAATTTCATTTCCTGTTTGGTCAGCGTGGTGAGCACAGCAGCACAGGTGACCATACAGTTCCCCCAGAATCGCAAATGAGCTCCAGCATGGAGCGAACAGGAGACTCTGGATCTGATTGCTGTATGGGGAGAAGAATCTGTGCAGACAGAACTCTGATCAAAAAGAAGAAATGCTAATATATATGCCAAAATCACACAGGGCATGATGGACAGAGGCTACAACAGGGACACACAGCAGTGCCGTGTGAAAGTCAAGGAGCTCAGGCAAGCCTACCAAAAGACAAAGGAGGCAAACGATTGCTCTGGATCAGAGCCCCATAAATGCTGCTTCCATGATCAGCTGCATGGCATTTGGGGGGGGGGGGGACCCACCACTACCCCACCACTGTCCATGGGCACCTGCAAGGGGGGAGTCTCACGCAATAGGGAGAAGAATTTTGTGGATGAGGAAGAGGAGGAGGAGAACGCGCAGCAGGCAAGCGGTGAATCTGTTCTCCCCGGCAGCCAGGACCTTTTCATCACCCTGGAGCCAATACCCTCCCAAGACAGGATCCCCAACCCTGAAGATGGAGAAGGCACCTCTGGTGAGTGCACATTTGTAACTACAGTACAGGGTTTAAAAGCAATAGTGTTTAATGTTTGATTTGCCTTAAAGACTTGGGATGCATTCGCGGCCAGTACAGCTACTGAAAAAGTCTGTTAACGTGTCTGGAGATGGAGCAGGAATCCTCCAGGGACATCTCCATGAAGCTTTCCTGGAGGTACTCTGAAAGCCTTTGCAGAAGGTTTCTGGGGAGGGCTGCCTTATTTTGTCCTCCATGGTAGGACACTTTACCACACCAAGCCAGTAGCAAGTAGTCTGGAATCATTGCAGCACAAAGCATGGCAGCAAATGGTCCTGGGTTTTGGTTGCATTCAAGCAACATTCAGTCTTTATCTTTCTGTGTTAGCCTCAGGAGAGTGATATCATTTGTGGTCACCTGGTTGAAATAGGGGAATTTTTGTAAGGGAACAGTAAAAGGACCCCGTTCATGCTGGGCTGTTTGCACTTGGCTAAAAGGGATCATCCCATAGCCACGCGGCAGGGGAAGGGGTCATCCCATAGCCACGTGGCAACAATAAGCAATGTTCCCTTGTCCTTCCTTCCTCCCCCACCCGACCTAGGCTACCTTATCAGTTATCTCCCTTTTTAAAAAATGAATAAAGAAAGAATGCATGGTTTCAAAACAATAGCGACTTTATTTCCTTTGCCAGCTGTGATGGAAGGGGAGAGGGTGGTTGGCTTACAGGGAATTAAAATCAACAAAGGGGGCGGGTTTGCATCACGGAGAAACACACACAACTGTCACACCGTAGCCTGGCCAGTCATGAAACTGGTTTTCAAAGCCTCTCTGATGCCATAAACGTCTCCCCCTTACTCGCTCAGATATTGTGGAGCACGCAGCAAGCAGCAATAACAATGGGAATATTGGTTGTGCCAAGGTCTAACCTAGTCAGCAAACTGTGCCAGCGAGCTTTTAAACATCCAAAGGCACATTCTACCACCATTCTGCACTTGCTCAGCCTATAGTTGAACAGCTCCCGACTACTGTCCAGGCTGCCTGTGTATGGCTTCATGAGCCATGGAAGCAAGGGGTAGGTTGGGTCTCCAAGGATAACTATAGGCATTTCAACAACATCCCCAACAGTAATTTTCTGGTCTGGGAAGTAAGTCCCTTCTTGCAGCTGCTCAAACAGCCCGGAGTTCCTAAAGATGCAAGCGTCATGCACCTTTCCCAGCCATCCCACGTTGATGTTGGTGAAACGTCTCTTGTGATCCACCAGTGCTTGCAGCACCATTGAGAAGTACCCCTTGTGGTTTATATACTGGTTGGCAAGGTGGTCCGGTGCCAAGATAGGGATATGCGTTCCGTCTATCAGCCCACCACAGTTAGGGAAACTCTTTGCAGCAAAGCCATCCACTATGACCTGCACATTTCCCAGAGTCACTACCCTTGATAGCAGAATATCAGTGATTGGATTGGCTACTTGAATCACAGCAGTCCCCACAGTAGATTTGCCCACTCCAAATTGATTCCCGACTGACTGGTAGCAGTCAGGCATTGCAAGCTTCCACAGGGCTATTGCCACTCGCTTCTCAACTGTCAGGGCAGCTCTCATCTTGGTATTCCTGTGCTTCAGGGCAGGGGAAAGCAACTCATAGAGTTCCAGGAAAGTGGCCTTATGCATGAGAAAGTTTTGCAGCCACTGGGAATCATCCCATACCTGCAAGACTATGCGGACTCTCAGGTCTGTGCTTGTTTGCCGGGCCCAGAATCGGCATTCCACTGTATCAACCAGCCCCACTGCCGCCAAGATGTCCCAATTACCACATCCCGTGCTTTCAGGAACATCTGTGTCCATGTTCTTCTCACAATCGTCCTCGTGCTGCCGTCTCTTAGCTATGTTCTGTACATACTGCAGTACAATGCGCAAGGTGTTTACAATGCTCGCAACAGCAGCAGTGAGCTGAGCGGGCTCCATGCTTGCCATGCTATGGCGTCTGCACGGGTAGCCTAAGAAAAAAGGTGCAAAATGATTGTCTGCAGTTGCTTTCACGGGGAGGAAGGAGAGACTGACGGCATGTACCCAAAACCACCCGTGACAATGTTTTTGCCCCATCAGGCATTGAGAGCTTAACCCAGAATTCCAATGGGCAGCGGAGACTGTGGGAAGAACTGTGGGATAGCTTCCGACAGTGCATCGCTCCATGAGCCGATGCTAGCCACGGTAGTGAGGATGCACTCCGCCGACTTAATGCGCTTAGTGGGGACATACACAATTGACTGTGTAAAATCGATTTCTAAAAATCGACTTCTATAAAATCGACCTAATTTCGTAGTGTAGACATACCCTGAGAGAGCTAAGTAAGCCAAGGGAGCCACGCAAAAACAATGAAAGGGCCAGAAGAAGACTCACCTTCAATTTGGCCTTGAGAGTCTAGGGGAGTCCTCATTGACCAGCAAGATTTGGGAACACTGGATCCAAAGCATTCAATTGTTTTTTTTTAAGAGAGGGAGTTCTTCAGACCTTACTCTTTAGTGACTCCCCTGGCTAACTGAAGAGCAATATTCAGGGATCCTAGTTTTCCGTGATATAAAAAACAAAATTCTCTGATAAAAAAAAAAAAAACCCATAAAAATCTGTGTTTTGCATGATTAAAATTAAACACTGAACTTTAGTTGCCCTAGCCACTATATATATATAGGGATCAGTTGAACACGTCTTATTGATATATTTACAATTTTCAAGCAAGTTCAAAGTCTACCAGTGCCATCAATCATTTTAATAAAATTAATAGAATTGCAATGTGTATATCTTACATATACCAAATACTTCTATGTCTGTTCTCTATTGTCAGAAAATTGTTTTTTTTTTAAATGCACAAAAATGCTGGAGTGATCTAGTCACAGTATTTTGTTTCTTTACCGTTGTCAATGGCCCTACCGTTTCAGCCTCTTGTTTTCATTTCTTTTCATTCAGTTTGTTTAGCGCTTTCATATGTTCCACAACTGTTTGCTTTCGGATGTAATTTACAGCACTGCTGCATATGCTACAGAACAGCACATTAACATCAACATGAAATTTGCCCTTGCCAAACTCAATGACACTGTCTTCAGGGATGAGTTTTAAAGTTTCTGGCATCTTTTCATAACTTTTAATTAACTTACATTTGGCGGCTGAAGTGAAATTTGAGATGCATTAAAACACTAAGCTGTATATATCAGAAGCAGTTTATTATATGTTTAGCTATGTAAATTTAAAGCACATTCGAAAATCAACCACAAGAGGGGGAGGTTGCATGCATTAAATAAGGGACATTGGTACTTTTAGTAAAATTTAGTTAATACATGTTTTTATTTTTTCACAAAATGTAAAAACTAAAGATTCTCTGTAAAGACGCAAATTGTGCGTTCTTCTGTGGCAAATGGATTTCTAAGATCCCGGGACATAATGATAGGCCAGAAAGACTGATCAAGCTATGGGACCTTGAGATAGAGGGCAGGAAAGTGGAATTAACAGTTCTACTAAAAGAAAAGGAGTATTTGTGGCATCTTAGAGACTAACAATATTTAAATCCCTTTCTTTCTGAGGATACAGACTAACACAGTTGCTACTCTGAAACAGTTCTACTAAGAAATTTTACAAAAAGAAATCCCTCCAAGCTCTTCCCAAAACTCACTAAACATGTGGATGTGATATATATTTAAGAATAAGACCTCGTCTACAAATGAAAGTTAATATGGAATAAGGTAGGGTGTGAATTTAAAATACATCAGCTATTCCTGATTAACTCCAACTGCAGATGTTCTTATTCTGGAATAAGAGCGCTTTATCTATTTTGTGGATTAAGCTAATTCAGAATAAAGCACTTTATTCTAGAATATGAGCATCCACAGATACAGTTGATTAGGAATAGCTACTCTGGAATGACTTCCCATGTAGACAAGCCTTAAATTGTCATTACTTGGATCTGCAAGAAGGCAGCAAATATCCTGAAAGGAATTTCTGTGACCCGCATAAGATGCATCACAAAGTACTATGTCTATGGTACATGAGCTTTATGTATACATAGTCTGACAAAAATAAGTAGTAATAGCTACATATGTTTTTATGTCACTGCTAATCTGATAATGGAGTCTTTCAAAGCTCAATATGTACTTTATTAGCTCTTAATCTTTATGCATCAAACAGCGTTTGCCTCATCCTTCCCACAACATCACAGACCTAACTGCTGGTATGACAAGACCTGACAAGAGCACACAAGTCAACAGTTATTAAAATGATCTGGATGCAGATTATCTTTTGTTGGCTCAATATTTTTTGTTGTTTGATCTACCTCGAAACTGGAATTGTTAATACAAAGATGAACTAAAGGTTGTCTAGTTTCATTGAAGGCTCTCTAAGCAATTCTACCTCCTTTGCGGAAGAGAAGGTAAGTGAGAAAGTCTTTTATTGGACCAATATCTGTGGGTCCAATCACCCCACCCACCTTGTCTTTCTACTATCTTGGGACCAACACAGCTACAACAGCACTGCAAATCCAGGCTCTGTTGTTCTTCCAGGCTGACCTCTCAAAGAAGCTAACTGCACCTTCTCTAAGGACAGAAGTCTGCAGGGATTTGGTCTATCCCGACTAAGGACCCTGTATTCTCCACACAGGGGTAATTCCCACACATAGAAGTGTAACCACTTTGAACTCAGAATTTCTTCATCATCCTCTGTGTGCGTGGTGGGGAGGCTTACTCCCAATGCAAAAGACTGAGTCTCAGGGGTTCCACTGGAGACAAATCATCTGCACTAAGGACCTGTGCCTCCACATACTCCACTGAAATATTAATGGATTAGCCACAAACAAAATCAAGATAGACTTTTCCTTTAATTCATATGTGTTTTTGCTAATGCTTTGACTGATTAAAACTGAAATAACATTTAAAATTAATGTATTTTTAAAAATTTATGCTGACAGATACCTTTTTGCATTTTTCTCAGCTTGGCCAGTGAAACTAAACAGATCCAGTTCCCATTTGTTTATAGTCACTTTCATTTTCTTATGCACCATCAGGTTGACGATGTATTGCAGAATATGTACATTTCTTTTAAATGGTGCATTTAATTCTTTTAAAAATCATTATATTTTCTGATAATAAACACCTGCAATGCCCATTCACTCCAATGAGAGATGAGGGAGCTCTGAATCTGAGTGATATTTTTACATGTAAATGGACACATTCATTATCTTACCTGAGAGTCAAGTTACATGCGATGTGATATCAGAACTGTAATCATACAGAAGGGCTTCCTTCCAGGACCTGAAAGTCGTGTATTCATAGCCCTTCAATTGCAAAGTCACTGCTGAGTAGCTGGCACTTTGTCCGCATCACTCTTCACAGGACAAAGAGTTTGGCATCCTTTTATGTATTCCTTTCTAGAAAATAAAGAGAATAGGATAAGAGGGTTGAAAGACTTATTATTTTTTCTTGTACATTTTGGCTGTTTCTAAATAAAACAGAAACAAATTGTTTCTTTCAGGGTATGACTCGGTGCGCTATTGAGCGCCTCACAGAATCAGCGACCCAGGGAGGCCTCAATCCTACTATACTGAAATCAGTGGTAATCCTTCCAGTACTCCAATGAAACTCTTAGATGGTCATATTTTCCCATTCTTCTACCCTCTTCACCACAGAGTTGTTATACATGCCCGTTTTGTAAGGCTTAGATGTAAGAAATATCTATTACTATTCATGTGGTGTCGGTACATTTTGTGGTTTGTGTTTTTTAAATGCTGCACTAAATACTCTAAAGCACTCCCTTCTGCACCCCATCTCATGTGACTGATTAATTCAATACTAAGAAATTGAAATATACATAAGAGGCACTGAAAAATGAAAATCTCTAATAAATGGAAACACTTATTTATTTCATCCAATTAAAAGTCTCAAGAATGGTCTGCCTCAGTTCAAGATTTTAAAGATCGTTACCATAATTAAATAAAGCAAAACAGATTTGCTGTAGCACACAAGAAAATGTGAGAAGACAGTAGAACAACATTCCAAGACTAACCCGAAAACCGCGGGGCTCACATCTAGTAATTAAATGTATTGCCAATAAGCCATAAGTCTCCAAGGCATGAGCAAGGGAAATATGATTGTAAGCACACCCTGTCACTGTTTGGTGTTCATAATGTGTTATCCCAAGGGAAACAAGTGCATCTGTTCTATATTAATGGTAGGTGATTTTTCAGTAGTATGAAAGATATTTAAGCAAGTATTATACATACAAAACAGTGTTACAGTAATATAGCCAAACCACAAAAAGATTAAGGAGCTATATAGTAATAAAACAAAGGTTTCAAGGCACATTTTTAAGGAGCCATTATCGAGGGGGGGTGTCATAAATATAAAGGGAAGGGTAAACCCCTTTGAAATCCTTCCTGGCCAGGGGAAAGCTCCTCTCACCTGTAAAGGGTTAAGAAGCTAAAGGTAACCTCGCTGGCACCTGACCAAAATGACCAATGAGGAGACAAGATACTTTCAAAAGCTGGGAGGAGGGAGAGAAACAAAGGGTCTGTGTGTCTGTCTATATGCTGGTCTTTGTCGGGGATAGACCAGGAATGGAGTCTTAGAACTTTTAGTAAGTAATCTAGCTAGGTATGTGTTAGATTATGATTTCTTTAAATGGCTGAGAAAAGAATTGTGCTGAATAGAATAACTATTTCTGTCTGTGTATCTTTTTTGAAACTTAAGGTTTTGCCTAGAGGGGTTCTCTATGTTTTTGAAGCTAATTACCCTGTAAGATATCTACCATCCTGATTTTACAGGGGAGATTTCTTCATTTCTATTTACTTCTATTTTTATTAAAAGTCTTCTTTTAATAAGAAACTTTTAAGAAACTGAATGCTTTTTCATTGTTCTTAGATCCCAGGGTTTGGGTCTGTGGTCACCTATGCAAATTGGTGAGGCTTTTTATCCAACATTTCCCAGGAAAGGAGGGGTGCAAGTGTTGGGAGGATTGTTCATTGTTCTTAAGATCCAAGGGTCTGGGTCTGTAGTCACCTAGGCAAATTGGTGAGGCTTTTTACCAAACCTTGTCCAGGAAGTGGGGTGCAAGGTTTTGGGAAGTATTTTGGGGGGAAGGACGCGTCCAAACAGCTCTTTCCCAGTAACCAGTATTAGTTTGGTGGTGGTAGCGGCCAGTCCAAGGACAACGGGTGGAATATTTTGTACCTTGGGGAAGTTTTGACCTAAGCTGGTAAAGATAAGCTTAGGAGGTTTTTCATGCAGGTCCCCACATCTGTACCCTAGAGTTCAGAGTGGGGGAGGAACCTTGACAGGGGGGTGAAAAAAGAGGACACATAGAGTGCATCTTAATTCCCACATCCCCTGCACATGCATGCAGCCATTCTTCTTCTTATACAACAGCAAGCACAAAGGAGGTGGGATGGATAACCTGGCAGACCACATGCCTTTAAAGCTGTGGAGCACTGGTGGACATCTAGGGTTCCCAACCCTACATATGCATATTGTAGTAGGGAGCATTGTTCTTTTCTGGAAAAGCCAAGTGATTCCCCACCTCTTACTGCGATGGCAGAGAGGTCCAGGAACTCACCATGCAGCTGGCAATACTTTACTCATCCCCAACGCAAATACATTCAAAACTAGTAAAGACTAGATTTTCATGATGTGTATTTGGAGGCATACATATGCTATCAGTGTATACATATTTACTCTATATATGTGGACAGTGAAAAAGAATACTATGGTGATATGCAGCACAGAAATAAATAAATAAAATAGTCTAATAACGTTGAGCTTTCCTGGCAGTCACTGGACCTGAAATCTATCTTCCTTGTCAATCCCTTATTGCAATTTGCTTATGCCATGGGCCCTGCCCTAATTTTTGCCGATGTTCACTGCCTCCAGGCCAACACATTAAAAAAACCACAGTATTCTACGTAGAAACTGCTCTGCTTTGCTAACAATTTACACCCACAGACTGGCTGGTGTTCAACTCATTGAATATTTAAGGACAGTTAGCTAAGAGGCCTTGTGCTTTGATCATACCCTCCCCTTTTGACACTTTCCGGTCTTTGTCTTATAACAAGATACTTTACAAGGAAGATCAAAACAAATCCAAGTGCCAGCAACTTTTAATTATGAGCAAGATAGCTCATTATTTGTGGTCCACCTGCCCTTTGCTGATTGCAGTGGGTCTGACATGGGAGGAATCTTTTGTTCCTGGCTGCTAGGTTATTTATATATTTTTCCATGTGATTCACCACATACCTGAGCACCTCATAAACATGAATGAAGTTATTCATACAACACCCCTCTAAAGCAGGAAACTCTTTTTTATCACCATTTTACAGATGGGAAAGTGAGGCACAGACACACTGACTTGCCCAAAGCTACCCCTTACTAGCTATCGCAGAGTTGAAAACAGAATCCAGAGTTCCTAAGCCCCAGTCCAGTACCTTAGCCACAAAACCTCTGCAGACCTGCCTCTCCTCCAGATACACTAGTCTCCAACTCCTACCTACAAGTCTGGGCTCAGCTAAACCTGCTCGATCGGTGCACACCCAGACTAATGCAAGGGATGGGAAATGTTCAAGGTGACAATCAGTGCTACAGAGACGCTCCGCGGTGTGCCAGGAGCAGGTGAACTGTGCAGCAGCGCAGAATCCAGGCAGAGCCATGGCAAACCATTTAGGAAAATGAACCATCTTTTACAAGGTGGTGAAGCCTAGGCAGACACATTAAGTAATTTACCCGGCAGAGTTTCCTTCATTAACATGCATACGTCCCTGCTAGCCAGGGTTAGTTTCTGGGGCTGCACAGCTCTCTCCCAGCTCCAGGCCGGGTGACCACTTCAGAAGAACTTTTCCTTCTGCGTTGCCCTAAAACGTGAACCGTTTTCGCAGCTGCCTTCAAGGCGAGCTCGTGTTTCCAGCCGCAACGTCCGTACTCCGGGGGGCCCGCGGGTGCAGGTAACGCTCCTTCCCCACCGCAGCCGCCTGCAGCGGGGCTCGCTTCTTTCCGCCTTCCCCATCGGTTCTGTCCGGACCAGCAGCGGGTGTCAGAGGGTCCCGGCCGGGGCCCGCCCAACGCTCCTGTCACGGCCCCAGGCGGGCGCCCAGCAGCCTCAGCCTCAGCCCCTCCTCAGAACTTCCTAGGAGAGCAGGCAACCGATGCACCCGGCTCCCCCCGCCCCCTCCATCCCTGTCCCCTCCCCACGCAGCAGCCGCCCCTCCCCGTTTCCATTCCAGCGGCTGCGCGGTCACCCCGCACCGGCGCGGGGCGGGGCCTGAGGAGCAGCGCTGCCGGGCCCCGATTGGCGGAGCCGCTTGACAACCGCAGTCAGGGAGCCGGAGCAGCCAGAAGCGGAGCCGTAGGGTCGGGGCAGACGCTGAACTGGACCCCCTTATTCCTGGGCCAGGGACCCGCCGCCATTTTGCGTCCTTCCCATCCGTTCCGTGCGTATCTGTGCGTCCGGGCCCCCCGGACCCCCCTCAGGTGGGTCCCCGGTGGCGTCGTGGGGAGCAGCCTCGGGCTGCCTAGGGAGAGTCCCGGCCTGCTGGGGACCCCTTCCTGCGGGGGCCAGGCTGGCACCTCCCGAGATGGGGTGATGGAAGGCAACGGGGGAGGGGAGTGTCTGGGAGGGAGAAAACCGTGGAGGGGCGGGAGGAGGGGAGTGGGAGCAGGAGCTGGGGTGGGGTGGGGTGGCGGCGGGCCTGTCAGAGAAAGGGTGGGGGGTAGAAGAGAGTCTGGGTGTGTGTGTGACAGCGGGAGCTCTGGAGCGGAGAAGCCCCAGAGGATGACAGGACCCCCTATCATGGGGAGGAGGGGAGGAGGTCTCCTGCTAGACAGTGGAGGGGAGGGTGGTGCTGAAGGGACCAGGCGAGACAACAGCCTGGCTGCTTTGATGCTGGTTTGGCGAAAGCCCATTCATCTTGGCATTCTCTCCTACCCCGCCCCACACCCCGGTATCCTCCAGTCTAAATGTGGTGCGTGTTCCTGTTCTGTGGCCTGCAGCCCCGGTTCATTTCCCCCGTGAATAGCAAAGGGACAGTGTGGTTCTAGCCTGATTCCTCTGTTGTGATCCTGGCATCTAAGTACGGATTTCCCTTTGTTGTAGCGTCACAGGGCAAGTCTCCTATAATTAGGTGCCTTGGACATAAAAATGTGTCGACTTTTAGCATACTTGTGTTTACATAAACGAGATGCTGTTTCTTTTGTGCCTTTACTGCTGACAAATGGGATGTATAAATATGGTGCATTAAGACTTAATATTTAAGTACAGTAATTTCACTATGAAGTCCTACGTGTTCTTAGTTCTTCTGAGTAAACATTCTGGAAATATTTTCTGTATCTTGATGCTGTATCATTAAGTACCTGTACTTTATTGTTTCAGGGTTTTGAGTAGCAAAAAGGAGAAAATACTCTTAAATACACATGAGAAAAAACGAATGAAGTATGCTGATGTGTAAAAGTGGCGTGCCAGCGACTACTTAGTCAAAACACATTAGCTAGTTGCTAGATTGTCAATTATTTTTCTTAGTAAAAATTGTTTCCTTTTTCCTCTTTATACCAACATACAAGTATTGTGTGGTTTAATTTCACTTCTTTTTTTTTTTTGGCATCCATCATACACTTTTCTGTGTGACGTGCATGTATAATCTAGACAAAGAGCATTCAGGTTGTAAAAGAAACTGATTAAAAGCAAGGAAATCTGCCAGTCAGTTTTCAAATACAGTAGTTTAAATGTTAATGAAGTATGTAATATTGTGTCTCTCTAAACTGGGCCTTGGAGCACCTCCTTGTGGTCTGCCATATGAAACACTTGGATGCTGAGCAATGGGGGTGTGGAGAAAGAGAGAGAGGATGGTGCATGATAGAATCTTTATTTTAACAACTGATCAGTGGAATGGAAAAAAGTTGAGCCATTGAGTTAACGCTGTTCATTTGGGGGCCAGGTATGGGAAAATGCGTTGTATAATTCCTCCTTATACACAAGTTTGTTTTTTTTTAATTAAAATCGTAGTACCTGTGTTGTAATGTAGTTTGTATGAATTTTTATATTACACTGTTGCTAAGGGCTAAGTGATTTCCAGTGATTTTCACCCTATATATCCCTATTTCATGGGGATTAATTCAGATAAAATCTTGGCTCAGAGAATGTAGAATGAATTTTTAAATATTTCCTCTTTTGTTTAGGGCATCTTAGAATAATTGAGGACAGAGTGAAAATGGATCCACAAGTTAATGACTTGGGCCCAGATCCTGCAATGAACTCTCTGCATGGACAGACTCCTATGCTCACATGGAGATTATCAGTGCAGAATCAGGGGCTAGGTTACTCTAGAATGAATGAATAAAAATGTGTCTAATATTTCACACCAAGAAATAAACACTTTTTTATTATTTTTTTTATTTTATTTTTTTCCCTTAATACTACTTACAGAGCTCTTTTCTGTGAAGTTGTTTATGCTGCAACGGTTATTATTGTGAGAGAGTCTCTTCAGAAGTGTCTGCATTTTAAAAGGCTTATAGTTTTACAGCTTGTTATTTACACCTGTTAGGAAAACTAGACTTCTGAATGCATTTTGCTCTTCTGTGTACAGAGATATATGAAGAGACTCTGGGAATATTTGTAATATGATGAAAAAATATAAAAGGAGTATGGCAGAGATATTTTTAGGCCAGAAGTTAAAACATCTTACACAAATTAAGGGGTGAATATTGTCTTTAAAAAAACAAAACAAAATTAAGAATATGTTCTCTTTAGTTGTCTATTTATCCCTTAATAACTGTTGCTTAGAACTAGTACAAACATCCATTATTTTAGACTTTCAAAAGTCTAAATAAATTCCCAGTATGATTGCCCCTCAGTCATTGATCATTATCTGAGGGCACTAACATTTTATTTTAGAAATGCATTGCTATCTAAAATGTGAACAAATCTGGTGTTTTTAAAACTCCCTTACAAAGTTCTTTATGTAACCTCTACTAAAAGGCCATAGATGCAAGTTTGCACAATTGGAGTTATCATTCCATTTATCGGCAAACACCTTGTGTAGAATGTTAAGTTTAAATTATGCCCCCAAGAATAGATATTTCCTGATTCTGTTGCCCTACCAATACTTATAATACTCTTTTTGTTTTTTTGTTTTACATTTTTTAAAGGAAAACCAGCACAGAAATCTGAAAGCTTGGGATATAAATGCAAAGAAAGGAATTTTAAACCTAACACTGCCCCTCAGTCATTCTTGAGTATTAGTGCTTGATCAGATCATTGGTGACGTTATGTGCCATATGTGCTGGCAATACAGTGTCACAGGGGGATGGTTTGAAGATGCAGCTTGAGCTCTAACTATGAGTTTTCCTGCTACTCTGTGTTTAATACCTATAATGTTTTCAAAAACTAATATATAAACACACATTTCACAAGATCCTGTGTGCAAACTTCTGGATTTTTCATATTGCATACTTTACAGCTCATTGTTCCAGTGCATAACTTGACTGTATAATGCATATGAGTGTAGTAAATCTGAGGGGTTTTTTTTTCTTGATATCCTTAAAAACCTTCAATTAAATGAAATTTTTTTCTGTAGTAGACCTCCCATTTATTCTGGCTCATTGCCATTGGACTAGCAATTGTGCAGTATCCCTATCATCTGCATTTTCAGTCAGTCTCTTCAGAGTCATGTTAATGAATTCCCAGCATGGTGCATCTTTTCGTCAGAAATTCAATGTCCCACAACAGTGGGTTTTTTTTAAAATGGGGCCCAAAAAATGTTGCCATAACTGATAATGAATCAATAAACAGTCTTTAGGACCTGTCCTGCAAGCTGTTCAGGATGTCCTGGATTGTATTGAGTGGCCTTTATTTCAATTGCAGGCAGAATGTAAGTAGTCAAAATGTAATTATCCATGTTGGAATTTGGCAAGAACGCTAAATGAGCACACACCTACTCTTGAAGAAAGTACCGTGAAATCTGGAAACAGATGATACTTGTCCTCTTGCAGGACTGGACTGTTTTGGACCTAATCCTGCTTCCACTGAAGTCACTGGCAAAATTCGTTTTGGTTCCAGTGGAAGCTGGCTCAAAAGGAAGACACTCTGAGCTCCTCATTTTAGTTCCAGATACGATTGATTTATTTTAATTATAAATTTATTTTAGTTATTTTGATGTCAAACGCTTACCAAACCATTGACACTCTAAAGTACTGACTAGGATTATATGAAACCTCAGATTTTCTCTTTGCATACTGTAATAAGATGTAAATTTCTCATGTAGTAGCTTAGTTTATTACTATATGGTGGCGTTTTTGTTGTCAGTGACAATTTTGTTTACAAAATGGGGCTCAGCTATTGTTGGTCCACTGAAATTGTTAGTTCTCTTACCTCTGAAGGTATACAGAATGAATATTCCTCTGTAGTCCCTATCTAAAAAAATTGTATAGCTGTAGAACTTTACACCTGCATTTACAGCTCAAAGATCGAAGTTACTTGTGTGGAAGATGAGTGCTGCTTTTACATGTTGCAGTGCCATAGAATTCTCCTAGAATAAGTTTGCAGAAGCAGGACTGTTCCTGGTTTAAAGACGTGGTGGTTGTCTTTTGTGCTGATAACTTCTTTTACTGTCACAGCTGTTAGATCTTTCACTTAATGTAATTGTACTTCCAAGAATGGTATTGTATATCACATTGGTTTCTGCATCAGTAAGGTGTGTAAATATTTAACTTTAATGCAATTGTGGAAGGCATGTAGAGCCTGTACTCCTATTTAGCTTTGATCTGTGGTGCCATCCAATCCAAACAAAAGTCCAAGCTAAATGTTCCATTGCTCAGTTGGAGGTCTTATTCTGCATGAACTGTACTAGTAATATCCTACTAAAGAGATTCATTTTAAGGTTGGGTACTAGTTTTACCTGTCTGCTAGGAAATTACTTGAAGTTCAATAAAAGCCCTAATATCATAAAACATAGTAAAAGGCAAATCTGAAGTCTAGAGACCTACCTCGGAAGATGAGGTTGGGGATTAAGGTGTTGACACTTCAGTATTACAGTATATGTTCTGATACGGTTGTTAGTTTCCTCCTTCCCTCTTAAAGATATGACTGGATTATCTTCTAGGACCAAAAAAACCCCTTTCCCAGTTGTAGAAAGAGAATTAGGATAATGATG